TATATATATAATATATATATATATGCACACACACGCACACACATGAGAGATATATAGATAGATAGATAAATAACACACACACACACACCTGTCACACACATGAAGAGATATATAGACATACAGATAAAGAAAAACACACACAAAGGAAAAATCTTACAATCAAAAATATTTTGATTTTCTTGCAGTAATGAGAACGTACGTGTCACTGTCCTCATGTTTTCGTTCTCGTCGGGGAAATCCACGCCGTCATGCTTTCAGGAAGTTGCGTGACTGTGCATCCCTTGCTCTCAACCCTGTATAAACACAATTGTCTCCGTGTGATATATAAAGAGCGAGACGTAGGTTCAGGACAGACATTGAGTTGAGAAACCTCTCTCGTACAAGGTCTATATAAGTCGCTTAGTGACGAGACCTGTACTTATATACACCTTGCTCTCGTACACGTCCTCGTCCAGGTATCACGATGAAGTCCTCGCTGCTCGTCCTCATCCTTGTCGTGGCTGTCCTGGTCTCCGCGGCGGAGGATAAGAAGAACACGGTCGAGGCCAAGGTCGAGAAGAAAGATGGGTGAGCTGCTTGACGCTTTCTCGAGGACAACTTTGGAAAAAATCGCACTTGATCATTCATAATGGATCATAGATTTTTTTTTTTTCTTTTTGCATCTCCAAGCTGTGGAGAACCGTCGTTTCATATATTTTTGTAAAATAGAATATATACTGATAACCCACCAATAATAATGTAAACAGAAGATGATGAAATAATAATGATAGTAATAATAAAAAAAGTATAAAATCTATAAGCAATCTATACAGCGATATCAACCTACCTGTATATTGCTAAAGAACTCCCTTTTGCAGCAAAGTGAAGACCGACGTCAAGTATGAGCACAAGATCAACGACAACCTCAGCGTCGACGCCGGCGTCACTCACACGCACGGAGGAGGACACAGGTAGGATGGCTTCTCCTTGCTGTGAATAGCATAGGATTCCATTCATATATGTAAACTTATATCAAATATGTGTATGAGTGTGTGTGTATGTGTATATATTATATATATTACATATGTGTGTGCGTGCGTGTAAACATATATATATATATATATATATATATATATGTGTGTCATATGTATATATACATATATACATATACGTATGTATATGTATATATATATGTATATATATATATATATATGTGTGTATGTGTAATGTTTACATATATATATATACATATGTATGTATGTATGTATTTATCTATGTATACATGTATGTATATATATTTATATATACATATATAATCCATAAATGCATAAATTCCCCATCTCTCCTTCAGTGACACCAGCGGCACCTTGGAGCCACCTACAGATTTCGTCGATCAGCGGAAAAGATGAGGCAGTGAGAATGGTCGAGGGAGTTTTTGCCTTTGTCCATCTGCTGAAAGAGCAAGGAAATTCATTCAAGACAAGGCGTCTTATTTGACAGCTCGATTATGTGAAATTTAACCAAGATATACGTATTATCCATGAGTTTTATCCTGTTGAGATGATTCCTTTTTATTGCAACAATAAATCTATTTTGATTATATATATTTTTTCTGGACAACTGTCGTACATATTTTGTGATACGAATATAATTCTTATATGCATATTTTCGTTTTACTCTTATAAGCATATCCATGTTGATTAGTGTTTTATTTGATAAGGGATGTACATACGTTCATTACCCGAATAAAAAGAAATGACCAATAAAACCAAAGAAAATGGGAAATGCACTTAAAATATATCAAAGTGACTGAGTGAGAGACTCAAGAAAACAGATAACCAGTGGTACATGGACACTGATGATATCTAATTCAAACGAACACATAAAAGAAAACAATAGAAATAAGAAAATGATGGAGGGTATATTCAGTAGTATATTTTACACAAATAAGTACTGTACGTCTACCGTTAAATGTTTAGCAGTCTGCTCTCTCTCTCTCTGAGTATGTCTGTTTGTTTGCGTATGTACAAGTGTGTATGTGTTAATATGTCAACACACACGCACAACCACTCAGGTACATTCATATACAAAGATGTAGATGTATACACATCTATTTCTCTCTTTTTCTCTACATGCACACACACACACATAATATCTATCTATCCATCTATATTCATTCAACGGCTCCCAGGAAAGAAGCAAGAAAAAAATTGTTAATTACGCATATCCTATTATCAGGACGAAAAAAAAAGGAAGCAATGTTCAGTTTCCATTTTTTCAGATTTTCACTTGATAAAAATATGAAAAAAAAGAAAAAAAAAAAAAATCGAAAGTAGAGAGACTAAAATTTAACATTTCCAGCCGCCCCTCGGTAAGTGCTCCTCCGACACCGCGAAGTCGACAAAGAGACGAACCAATCAGACGGAATTATGGCGGATGACGTAAGCGAGGGAAATCAAATGAGCCAATGGGAAGTGTCCTTGGCTCTGGCGACAGACGCGAGCGACCGGTCTACCAACGGTAATAAGAACGATAACGGATAATCACGTGATACAGTAGAAGCTGGACCCAAGGGATGTCGGTTACAATGCACATCAGCTCCATCATGGCTAAGCTGTGGTGAAGGTGCTGGGTCAACGGTTTCGCATCTAATGTGCATGATATTTTGGCAATAAAAAGACAACGAGGATCCTGACAACTCGCAGGCAGGTCATTCTGGATTTATCAGTTAAGGTAAGAAATTCTTTGTAGGAAATTCAAATGTTTGTTCAGGCTTATCCTCCCAGTATGCACGAGGTGAAGAGTGCAGGGTGGGTGGGCTGGAGCTTCTTCTCTCTTGAAAGGGGATTATGAATTTACATCGCAATGACTAAATTGCTGAAAATTTTACTTCGATCATTCGCTTTCATCCTCCAATTACCCTCATACTTACCATTCCCTCCCCAGCCATCGGGACCAATACCTCCGCTGTCCTTCGTTTGCAGCGGGAATGAGTGCTAGATGAGTTCGAAGCACCAAAAGAGCTTTCAGAGAGAGAGAGCGAGAGAGAAGAGCGAGCGAGAGAACGAGAGAGCGAGAGAAGAGAGAGAGAAAAAAAACATTTTCCCTCTTCTAACTCCGGCCCTGGCATTAGCATCATTATCATCATTATCATTATCATTATCATCATCATCATCATCATCATTATCATCATCATCATCATCATCATCATCATTATCATCATCATATCATCATCATCATCATCATCATCATCATCATCATATCATCACATCATTCATCATCATCATCATCATCATTATCATTATTACTATATATTCTTTTCAAATAAGCATCCACAGATCGTTTTTCCCTCATTGATCTAAAAGAAAATGATTGAAATAAAACACGCATAAATTGAAATACAAATATATGTATCAAATGTAACAATAACAAATCATTTTTTTTCTCAGACTAATCGTGGCAAATTATTTTATTTCTCCTTGAAATTTTCTGTGCTTTACTGTTATTAGTAATAGTAGTGGCATTATTATTTATTATTATCATTATTATTGTTGTTGTTTTTCTTATCATATTAATTTTGTTATTGTTGTATTGATATTAGTACTATTATAGTAGTTGTTATTATCATTATTGTCATCATTATTATTTTCATTATCGTTACTATTACTATTATGATTATTGTTGTTATTACTATTGTCATTATCATTATCATTATTATTATTATTATTATTATCAATATTATTGTTATTATTACTATTATCATCTTTAGTATTATCATTATCATTTTTATTGTTATTATTATTACAACTATAATCATCATCATCATCATTATTATTGTTATTATCATTATTATTATTAGCATTGTTACTATTATTCATCGTCATTATTATTATTGTTATCATTATCATTATCATCATTAGCATTACTATTATTATCATCATCGTATTATTATCATTATTATTATTATTATGTATGTTTGTATTATTATTATCATTATTATTATTATCATATCATTATCATTATTATCATTATCATTATTGATATCATTATTGATTGGTTTATTGGTATGGTAAACGCGTGTATATATGTATATATGTGTGTGTGTGTGTGTGTAGTGCAGATTTTGTCGTTTGCATCCCATGTCTGTTGATACTTGTATATAAAACACACACAAAATTATGTACAGGTGCATGAAAACACAAGAGTATTAACTTAACTATTGAATATTTAGTGATCATTCAAATTTATTTATTTCTGCTGTTACAAATTTTGCCAGTACATTTATAAAGCAAACGCCCAGTTCAATTTTCCATCAGGAGTAAAATATGCTGATTATGTATAGAAACATATAGATGATTAAGTAGTATGACTTCCAGTTTTACATTTGGATAATGTTTTCCAAATCTGGTCCCCGTTATCACCAATAGAAGCAGCAGCAGTAGTATTAAGAACAAATGTAGAGTTTAAGGAAAGTTAGGTCTTGGAAGGTTAGTATGAATTAAGGCAGGTTAGGGTAAAATACAACGTTAGTGATTCAGCAACACACTCGTTAACAATCTCATGCTAAATTCCCCATGTAACACCGCGACCAAAATATGTGCAAATGCTCTTCTCTCGACAGTAGATAATGGAGTTTGATCTTGTGCCTTGGCAGTACATGTGACGATATATATATATATATATATATATATATATATATATATATATATATATATATATATATATATATATATATGCACACACACGCATATACACACACACGTACACACATGGAGAGATATATAGATAGATAGATAAATAACACACACACACACTGTCACACACATGAAGAGATATATAGACATACAGATAAAGAACACACACATACAAAAGGAAAAATCTTACAATCAAAAATATTTTGATTTTCTTGCAGTAATGAGAACGTACGTGTCACTGTCCTCATGTTTTCGTTCTCGTCGGGGAAATCCACGCCGTCATGCTTTCAGGAAGTTGCGTGACTGTGCATCCCTTGCCCTCAACCCTGTATAAACACACAACTGTCTCCGTGTGATATATAAAGAGCGAGACGTAGGTTCAGGACAGACATTGAGTTGAGAAACCCTCTCTCGTACAAGGTCTATATAAGTCGCTTAGTGACGAGACCTGTACTTATATACACCTTGCTCTCGTACACGTCCTCGTCCAGGTATCACGATGAAGTCCTCGCTGCTCGTCCTCATCCTTGTCGTGGCTGTCCTGGTCTCCGCGGCGAAGGATAAGAAGAACACGATCGAGGCCAAGGTCGAGAAGAAAGATGGGTGAGCTGCTTGACGCTTTCTCGAGGACAACTTTGAAAAAAATCGCACTTTGAGATTCATTCATAATGGATCATAGATTTTTTCTTCCAAGCTGTGGAGAACCGTCGTTTCATATATTTTGTGTAAAATAAGAATATTATACTGATAAGCCACCAATAATGATGTAAGGAGAAATATGATGAAAATAATAATAGTAATAACCATAAACAAGTATAAAATCTATAAGCAATCTATACAGCGATATCAACCTACCTGTCTATTGCTAAAGAACTCCCTTTTGCAGCAAAGTGAAGACCGACGTCAAGTATGAGCACAAGATCAACGACAACCTCAGCGTCGACGCCGGCGTCACTCACACGCACGGAGGAGGACACAGGTAGGATGGCTTCTCCTTGCTGCGAATAGCATAGGATTCCATTCATATATGTAAACTTATATCAAATATGTGTGCGAGTGTGTGTGTATGTGTATATATACATTATATATATTACATATGTGTGCGTGTGCGTGTAAACAATATATGTATATATATATATATGTATGTATGTGTGTTTGTATGTATATGTATAATATACATATGTATATATATGTGTGTGTGTGTGTGTATGTGCGTGTGTGTGTGTAATGTTTATGGTATATATATATATATATATATATATATATATATATATATGTATGTATGTATGTAATGTATATTTATCTATATGTACATGTATGTATATATATTTATATATACATATATAATCCATAAATGCATAAATTCCCCCATCTCTCCTTCAGTGACACCAGCGGCACCCTTGGAGCCACCTACAGATTTCCTTGATCAGCGGAAAAGATGAGGCAGTGAGAATGGTCGAGGGAGTTTTTGCCTTTGTCCATCTGCTGAAAGAGCAAGGAAATTCATTCAAGACAAGGCGTCTTATTTGACAGCTCGATTATGTGAAATTTAACCAAGATATACATATTATCCATGAGTTTTACCCTGGTGAGATGATTCTTTTTTATTGCAACAATAAATTCTATTTTTTATGATTATATATTTTTTTTCTGGACAACTGTCGTACATATTTTGTGATACGAATATAATTCTTATATGCATATTTTCGTTTTACTCTTATAAGCATATCCATGTTGATTAGTCTTTTATTTGATAAGGGATGTACATACGTTCATTACCCCGAATAAAAAGAAATGACCAATAAAACCAAAGAAAAATGGGAAATGCACTTAAAAAATATATCAAAGTGACTGAGTGAGAGACTGAAGAAAACAGATAACCAGTGGGACACTGATTATCTAATTCGAACACATAAAGAAAACAAATAAGAAAATGATAAGGAGGGTATATTCAGTAGTATATTTTACACAAATAAGTACTGTACGTCTACCGTTAAATGTTTAGCAGTCTGCTCTCTCTCTCTCTGAGTATGTCTGTTTGCGTATGTACAAGTGTGTATGTGTTTAATATGTCAACACATACACGCACACACACTCAGGTACATTCATATACAAATATGTAGATATATACACATCTATTTCTCTCTTTTTTCTACATGCACACACACAGAAATCTATCTATCCATCTATATTCATTCAACGGCTCCCAGGAAAAAAAGCAAGAAAAAATAATTGTTAATTAATACGCATATCCTATTATCAGGACGAAAAAAAAAATAAGGAAGCAATGTTCAGTTTCCATTTTTTCAGATTTTCACTAAAATATGAAAAAAAGAAAAAAAGAAATCGAAAGTGAAAATCTGACCTTGGCATCCTATAGCACGTAATATTCTAAGACACTTTTCTCTTTCGGAATTTCTTTCATCAACTGATAAGGATAGTAGAGAGGCTGTAAAACTCAACATTTCCAGCCGCCCCTCGGTAAGTGCTCCTCCGACACCGCGAAGTCGACAAAGAGACGAACCAATCAGACGGAATTATGGCGGATGACGTAAGCGAGGGAAATCAAATGAGCCAATGGGAAGTGTCCTTGGCTCTGGCGACAGACGCGAGCGACCGGTCTACCAACGGTAATAAGAACGATAACGGATAATCACGTGATACAGTAGAAGCTGGACCCAAGGGATGTCGGTTACAATGCACATCAGCTCCATCATGGCTAAGCTGTGGTGAAGGTGCTGGGTCAACGGTTTCGCATCTAATGTGCATGATATTTTGGCAATAAAAAGACAACGAGGATCCTGACAACTCGCAGGCAGGTCATTCTGGATTTATCAGTTAAGGTAAGAAATTCTTTGTATGAAATTCAAATGTTTGTTCAGGCTTATCCTCCCAGTATGCACGAGGTGAAGAGTGCAGGTGGGTAGGGGGTGCTGGAGCTTCTTCTCTCTTGAAAGGGGATTATGAATTTACATCGCAATGACTAAATTGCTGAAAATTTTACTTCGATCATTGTTTTTCATCGTCCAATTCCCCTCATACTTACCATTCCCTCCCCAGCCATCGGGACCAATACCTCCGCTGTCCTTCGTTTGCAGCGGGAATGAGTGCTAGATGAGTTCGAAGCACCAAAAGAGCTTTCAGAGAGAGAGCGAGAGCGAGCGAAAGAACGAGAGAGAGATAAAGAGGAGAAACGC